TATTCAGTTGAGCGCCTCTAAAGTACCATTGGATTGGCACTGGCACAATAAGACAAAATATCTATATACTAAAATAATCCAACAACTACTGAGGTTACCCCGTACATACGTGCTCGCATATATGTATGTATGTATATGTTAAACATATGTATGTTTGTATAGATTGATATATGTATGTATGTATGTGTTAAACATGTGTATGTATGGCTATGCGTAACATGTGTACGTATGTATTGTCTATACAGTGTGGCCGTATATGTCATTTAACTGTCATTTATGTGGTATTATGTAAATCAAATATGTAACCTAGCCGTACCATATTGCCTGCTCAGGCACACAATGATCTACGCCCAGTCACTAAGATATATACATTCTGAATATTCTTAGGGCTACCCTCTCTGCAATTCTTCGCAAAATATAGTTATATGTGTTTACTGTTCGTAGCTGTATGTATAGTCCTAGAATTTAGGTTTACGTATGTTCCTTTAGTGTTGAGTGTTATGCATGTATAGTCCTTTAGGATTTAGGTTTAAGGTTGTGTATGGTCCTCTAGTGTTGTTCTGTATGGTCCCTAATGGTTTAAAGTTTATGTATGACTCGTGGGTTTACTATCATAACACAGGCAGACATCCTGTAGTACAGCACGCTCACCCACGCCCGAGCACTCTGTAGACTCCGTTATACATATAGAAATCGGGTCATACCCACCGCATCTTACATATTATATCTATACGTATCAGTTGATATTGTATGAGCATGACCTAATTTCTCGTTCTTCCTGATATCACAGGCACAGCTACCCCGTACTACCGTGAGATGATCTATGCGGATGTCGCATGGACTGGAACCTCCTCTGCGTTCTTAATTTTGGCGTGTTTTGTCAAGGCCAAATTTCTGGATGACAGAAGTGTCCTGTTCCGCGCGGTTACCATGGTGATCCCCGTTGCTATGGTTTTTGGCGGGGTTTATCTGCGCCAGGAAGGGTTTGGGTGGGTGGATGAGGCCGAGTACATCGGAACGACTATTGTGGCTGCCGCTGTCGCGGTCTGGTTGCTGATTTTGACACCTGACAGGTAAGCTGTCAGCAAGATGAGTGTAATGTTGGTATTGGTGTGCGCATGCGATGACAATGCCCTGATAGCTGTATGTGCGAAACCCGAAGAGATGCGGGTTGATTCTTAGGTATGTACACTATGTCATCACCTTACAACCCTATGTGCGGATTCCATAGCTGAACTGGTGGGGGGGGGGGGGAGGAGGGGCTTTTTCGGGGTCTGCATCTTTGTTACCCTCTGTCATCTATGTTTTCAGTTTCCTTAGGAATTGTGTGTGGAGCGACCTATTACAAAGGAATAGGTTTTATGATTGAGAGGACTATGAAAACCAGAGGAAAACTCATTCAATGTATTAGGTTTTAGGGTTTTTATGAACCGTCAAAGTGAAGAATTCAGTCACGTATCTTTCCCTTAGCGAAAACCGATACCGAGTTCATGCTGACACATACTGACAGGCATTTCATTTCTGTAGTTTGTAGATACTTGCACGGCTAGACACAGTCATAGGTCACGCCCCCCTACCTTTAGAGCTGTTGACAGTCAGAGATTATAGTCACATCCAAACACAATGTACTGATTGTTTTATCTACGCTTATGCAGAGTGAAGTTACTTGCATGACACAGTCATATGCCACTTCCACTTACCTTAAGAGCTACTGACAATAAAAGAGGTTATAGTCACATCCAAACATAATGTACTAATTGTTTTATCTACGCTTATGTCGAGGGAAGTCACTTGCATGACACAGTCATAGGCCATTTCCCATTACTTTCAGAGCTATTGACAGGCATAGAGGTTATAGTCACACTCGAACACAAAGTACTGATTATTTTATCTACGCTTATGTAGAGTGTAGTTACTTGCATGACACACATAGGTCACTTCCCTTACCGTAAGAGCAATTGACAGGCATAGAGGTTATAGTCACACTCGAACACAATGTAATGATTATTTTATCTACGCTTATGTAGAGTGAAATTACTTGCATGACACAGTCATATGCCACTTCCCCCTACCTTAAGAGCAATTAACAGGCATAGAGGTTATAGTCTCATCCAAACACAATGTAATGATTGTATTATCTGCGCTTATGTAGAGTGAAATTACTTGCATGACACAGTCATATGCCACTTCCCCTTACCTTAAGAGCAATTGACAGGCATAGAGGTTATAGTCTCATCCAAACACAATGTAATGATTGTATTATCTACGCTTATGTAGAGTGTAGTTACTTGCATGACACAGTCAGATACCGCTTCCCCTTACCTTATGAACAATTGACAGGCGCAGAGGATATTTTCACATTCGACCACAGTGTAGTGTCCGCTGTAATTGATACCCCTCACATAGCTCGGCGAGCTTGTGGATGTCCATTCTCTCACCAATAGCTAAGAGATAGTTAAACAATTGTCAGTATATGTTTGGTGTTATGTCCTCGATGATCATCTTCTCAGTCCAACAATAGTACTAAACAAACCAACGGTAGTAGAAATGGTGAACCACTCTGCCTGCTTGTTAGTTCGGTTGTTATCGAAAGATGAGTCACAACCGCACCACCTGCCATCAGCTCTACTTGCTTTCAACATATTCAATCACGCTCAAATGTATACCTCTCCTCTACAGAGTTCGTCTTCAACCACAACCCGTTTCCTCACGACATTGTGCTTGCCCTCTCTCTAGCGTACTATCAAACGAAGCAGTACAACTGTTACCTACCACCCCTCACACAACTGCCTTTTGGTCCCATCTCGACACACACACAGCGGAAGCCAGAACACCTCAGAAGTTCTGTACCTTGCGCTGGTTCTCCTGGGGGGGGTGATCTTCCCGGGCGGATTAGCTCTGGACCGATACATGTGCGACTACTTTGGAACACCGTACGGAAATATGTTGCTACCTGCGTTCTGGGGGTGTGGTATAGCCTTCGTGGGTCTGTACTTGTACTCGAAGTCGGTGGTGGAGAGACAGTCGGTGGCAGAACAGGTCAATGGCAGGAAGAAGCGCATGTGAACACCATGTGGCATGGGCGTTATACTTGTAGATGAGTATATGTGTCCGGGCAAGTGAATGGTGTGAAGGTGGATTTACATTCTATATATATCCATACAAGGTACAAAGGGTTCTACATATATAGCAACAAGGTACAAAGGGTATCCTGTGGGTCAATACTGAATCGTTCAGCACTTCTAAAACCCTAAACTCCAAACCCTAAAACCCTTATATAGGTCTGTAAATGTTTGGGGTTTCAGTGAACATTCGGAAAGTCGATAGTTTTCAGTTCAGTACCTTACGCCAATCGAACCACAGGCAGCAATATGGGTTAAAAACAATAAAAGAACACTACGCAAGAGCTCTGAGTAAATTCAGTCTACTAGTCAAAAGAGATATAACTGCGCCTGACTGACCATCCCAGTGTATTACACACAGACACACGCAAAAACCAGTGCAGACAGATACAAAAAAACCAGTACACAGACACACACAAAAAAACCAGTGCACACAGTCACACGCAAAAACCAATGCACATAGACACATAAAAAAACCAGTGCACACAGACACACATAAAAACCAGTGCACACAGACACACAAAAACCAGTACACACAGACACACACACAAAACCAGTGCACACAGTCACACGCAAAAACCAGTGCACACAGTCACACGAAAAACCAGTACACACCACCACGGCACAGAAGGATATCACTGCACTTTCGCAGAAGTAGGCTAGTTTTAACAGCGTACATCATATATATATATATATATATATATATATATTGTTAGTACTATTGGTATTATATTATAATTCATATTAGTATTATTATTAATATTAATATTATTATTAGTATTCTTCTTCTTAATCTTATTCTTAATATTTTTTTTATTGTTAGTATTATTATTATTAACTTTGTTATTATTATTATTTGAAAAACCCCACATGTACCACCTGTATTACATCAACACACTCACATGTGCTTAATCTCAGTCAACAACTTATATCTATTATACATTCGCACCTGTATTCCTTCTATATATCCCGCTTGTGCTTATTATATATTCCCACCTGTATTATACCAATACACTTTCTTATATTCCCACCTGTATTATACCAATACACTTTCTAAGTAACGCCCTTGTACCCATTTTATATTAGCACCTGTAGTCATCTGACATCCTTTTCCCTTTCATTTGAGGCATATCACTCGATATCTTTTATTTTTGCGTTTACCTGAGCGCTGTTCCTCTGCAGTTAGCAACATTGTCCCGAACCCCATCCAGCACATTCTGGACATAGTTATTTGTATCCCACTTGTGTTTAATTCATCTGCCGTTTATCTACTAAACACTAAACCCTAAACCCTCGACCATAAAACCGTACACGCTAAAACAGTAAGCCGTAAACCCTAACTTCGATATGGTCTCGAAAGCGTCAGTAGTCTCCTATTGAAGGCCTGACATTGATAATATATGTGACAGATTGTGATAATTACTTATTTGATTTGAGAAGTGAATTGTTTTCGTTCCATAGCCTATTGACAGTAGCCTATTTATAATTCACATAAGGCACATAAGGCTTGACTCAGGTTTCTTCAATGCCCTATTCCTGTTTTTTTGAGGGTGACGTATATTGTGATTCGATATCGTATTTTCTTTCATTTGAGGTGAGTGTTCAATTTAAGAGGCTATGTGATAACTACCTTTATTCTATATCCTATTCCTATATATTTGAGTTCTGGACTTCGGTATCTCCGATGTCCTATTCCCATTTATTCGAGGTGTGCCGTATATTGTGATGCGATATCTTATTCTCATTTTTACTTTTGTTTGTTTTTTTGAGATATTACTGAAGTTTATTCTTTGATATATATTACTTATGTTTGTTTTTTGAGATATTACTTGGGTACTATGCAGTGGTATTCTTTGCGTGTGCACACAGACACACATCGCACTCAGAACACCCCTGCACACAAGTATTATACAAAGTTTATTCTTTGATATATATTGCTTATGTTTGTTCTTTGAGCTATTACTTATGTTTATCCGATCACCTATTCCTATCCGTTTGACTCTGACTTATATTTTCTCCACGGGTCTGCCTTTGTCTCAGCTGTTCCTCTGCAGACTTCACCGTGTCTTCAAACTCCTTCGCGTTTACGATTTGATCTCTCGATCGCCAGTAGTCCCGTTGCGACGGCTGTGAGAATGAACCGAAGCCAAATTAAATAAACGTTCTTTGTAATTCTCACGGACGAATGTACATATACATACGCTTCCGAAAGTAGACAAATAATACGTTTGTTTTATATAGTAATATATAGTAATGCTATGTACAAGTCGAATAAATTTGTATATATGCATGGTTTGCGGAGAAAGCAGCGAAAAGCTCCTTACAGCCTTGGTATCAGTATTGTACCAATCGCTCGTAATAAGTGGTATGTACTTCTACAAGGCACAGACACTTTAAAAGAATTACAAACATGTACACACATACAATACTATACATGTGTACATAGATACGCTTGCTGCGGCATGTACATACAAATAAATACACTCATACGATACAATACATGTGTACATAGATACGTTTGCTGTGGCATGTCTACATAGATACGTGTGCCGCGGCTGCCCATACCTCGTACAGGCGTGACTTCCACGTCTCACGCGTGTCCTGTTCTCTGCCATTGACCCATGACTCATAGCACTGGTCGAGATACTGCGCCAGTCCTTCGTAGCCCCACTTCTGAAAGCCGTACGTATGCAATTCAATCGCACACGCACTCGGGTGTAGCCTGTGCACGGGTGGTGAATCGTCGTGAGATCACAACCAGATCGAGATCTACCATGTGAAAACGAAGGTTTTTCTCCAGAGACTCGAGAAACACCAAACGTAGTGTGCGATATGTGGGCAGATTGTGTGTGTGTTGTGCCACACAACTGCCACCACTGAGCTAAAACTATGTTTTGTCTCTCTAAAACTTGTGGGTAACCAGGTTTATCATCATATTCTCAGTTGTGTGATATTGGCCAGAAATACACTGAGAGGGTGATGACGGAGAGAAGTCGAGTGGCGCCTGAGGAGTCGAGTATAGCCGTGCTCTATGTACCATTAAGTAACTACAATTCATATATATTTAGATTGCACTCTATTTTAGACAGATATATATATATATATATATATGTATGTATCTTTCATTTTTTTAATTATAAATTGAACTCTATTGTTTGACAAGAGGATGCACCATGGCCCGCCCGTTGCAAACACTCGCGTAAAGCATAGTCATCGTGATCCATTTTTAGATATTTGAGCACATCTTAATCGGACTAGATATAACATGTCACAGCAGTTGTTCACCTACCACATAGATTCTACTGGTCTCAACAGGATGAGGTAGGTAGGCGTGCCAAGTCGGTGCGCATATGTTCTAAAAATAGAACATGCTCATCGGATACTGAGCGTACACGCACAGGTGCAGTGGTTCATATACCCGCCTATAAAGCACTAGTGAATATGCTATAAATAGAACTGCATGGGTCGAAGTCTACCTACCACGCATCATTTGCAAAGCCCACCACGTGCATCGTAATATTAATATAATCACCAATGCGCAATCGTATACTTTCAATAAATAGACTGCACGAGTAGACTTGTACCTACCAAACAGTACTACTACGTCCACTCCATGCATCTTGTATTCCTATATTGTACCCATCCCATATTGTATACGTTCTATAAATAGAATGCTAGGCGTGCATTATACCTACCACATCGTATTGACCATGCCCGCTCCATGCATGCCGATGTACAGATTGGCTTTGCGGACTTCGATAATCTGTGATAGCGACAAATACGCATTTTAGAATTATAACGTTTTAGGATAAGTTTCAATGTAGATCAGACTAATATGCAGAAAAAAAATTCGTGTGAACACACCCAGAGTTTGGATGTGATATATATATATATATACATACATATATATAATATAATATATATATATAATATAATAAATATATATATATATATATATATTATTATCTATATCTATCTACTACTATATATATATATATATATATAATACATACATTGACCTGTGCAATGGTAAACGCTCTTCACACAACACATACATTAACTTACACCAATGTATGTACACTTCACATGACACAAGCGTGCGCACAGGTACACCAACAATCATCCAGTATGCAATAAGTTAAAACATATGTAAGTGTATACTAACATATACACATGTACACGCTCACAATACAATTACACACACCTGCTCGGGCACAGTCATCGATGCAAAGTCAACCCTATGTATGGTATAGCCCCGGCTCTCCAGCACATCGATCATCTCATCTCTGTTCAGGATCTTGCGATATTGGTCTTTGCCAGTATTAAACCGGGGTGCATCTGTGGGATGTCAGGGTTTATGTAACGCATATGATAGTGCCGAGGTGAGATGCGTGTCGTGCATATAGTATACACCTATGGTTTCTACGGGTACAACTATATACATAGAAATCGGTTACATGATCATACTATATATATATATATATATAGAACAATACACCCACACGTACAGGAAAACAAACAGCCTTGTACATCATCAAAAATACTATCTGCATAACTGAGTACTCTCTCGCAGTATGAAATACAGTCATGTACACTCACTCAAGTACTTCTACGCGTGCCTGTTCATATGTTGACATATCAGCCCATACCTCTGGAAACCAACAGCACTCGTTTTGGCTCCATGGCGACATCCTGCAGACCTAAATTCCTATGGCATTCCAGAATCCAAATAAGGTTCGAGATGAGTCTGGGTGACATATATACCCTATACTCGATCATCCGTAGGGTTTTTAGGGGTTCAGGGTTGTGGAACTCTAGTAGAACACTACACTTAGTATTCGCATGCAGGTCTCTATACTCTCCCAATGAGTATAAACGTGTGTCATATGTCTCACTCGGAAATGTTTAAGTTTAAACGGATGTCGTATGTCCCTTGAAAATTTAAACGTATGTCATATATCACTTAGAATGTGCGTTGCTATACCACACACCACCGCATGTGCCCGACAAAAATTAGTTGCATGTCCAATTAATACGACACTAGTTTGGTATTTAGTCGCACACAACTCAACTAATGATCCCTGAACCCGGGTAGGTACTTGAAGTATCGTACACAGACAACAAAGCTCACCTAACAAAGTGTAGACTAATTCCGTGTCCTCGTCCCACTAATGCGACACTAGTCTGGTATTAGTTGCACACACCTCAACAAATGATCCCTGAATGCGGGTAGGTACTTGAAGTTCTCGTGGTGGATCTGCAACATGCGGTCGATGCGACTCCTGCGCTGCGGGTCTTTGGTTGTGTCTCTGGTCTGTATGGCTTTGGCCAGAGATTGATCCTGTAAAGCAATATAGCATGTCGAGTTGCTTTAGTATTTAATACGGTTTGTGGTAGTGGTTCAGCTGAACTGCTTTACATGGCGATTTGTTAGTGGTTTTGGTTTACGTGTAGGTATCACTGGCGAACACTGGCTACCTGAAATATAACTCAGTTTTAAGATTTTAGGGAGTTTTAAGGGTTTATTAGGGAGTTTTAAGTTTTTAGTCACACAGATTAAACCCAACGGTACAAAGTACTACTTTGATACTCCGTGCACTGCTATACTATCTGTCACAATACACATACCGCACCTTAGCCTCAAGACATGCATACATACCCTGTGCTCACATCGCGTTCTTTCTACACACACTTCCATACAAACATCTTCATACCTTGCACCTACATCGTGTGTACTATTCACACACCTCAAAACCAACACCATCATACCCTGCACCTACATCGTGTTTACTATACACACACCTCTGAACAAACACATTCATACCCTGCACCTACATCATGTTTACTATACACACACCTCACACACCTCTAAACAAACACATTCATACCCTGCACCTACAATATTTGTACTATACACACACCTAAACATGCACTTTCATACCCTGCACCTACATCGTATTTACTATACACACACCTCTAAACAAACATATTCATACTCTGCACCTACATCGTATTTACTGTACACACACCTCTAAACAAACACATTCATACCCTGCACCTACATCGTGTTTACTAAAAAACACACCTCTAAACAAACACATTCATACCCTGCACCTACATCGTGTTTACTAAAACACACCTCTCATTCATACCCTGCACCTACATCGTGTTTACTATACACACACCTCTAAACAAACACATTCATACCCTGCACCTACATCGTATTTATTATACACACACCTCTAAACAAACACCTTCATACCGCGTGCTCCATCTGTGGCCCAGTCAGCATCGCTCCGCGCGTTTCCATGCCAACCACCGCACGACTAAAACACGCCACCTCTGGCACCCGCCCACTCGCGCCATTGCCAGTGCCACCGCTACGCTCAAAAAGACTCTCTCGCACATCATAGAGTTCATCCATATCCCCGCGCCGTGTGGCGTGGTAGTTAGACGCATCGGCGGTAGGCGCCGGAGGCAGCCCGTAATCCGTCGGCTCGCCCCCGTGACCAATGACATCATCGGCGTGGTCTCCGCTCACGCTGTTATCCGCGTGTCCGTGGTAGATCGCGCGGTGCAGTAGAGCAGCGCCGGACTTCGGGAAGGCAAACACGCGGCGTGTGCGTAATAAGGCCATCAGCAGATACGCAGACGCGTGCGAGGAGGTGTGGGTGTGTGTGTGCGGGGGCACCAGATGCATGTGGTCGTGCGTGCGTGTGTCGTGTGGGTCGTCTTCTGCTGTTGCGCCGTGGTTGGGGTGGTCCTGAGGGGCTGTGGGGAGAAACGGCAGTGGTTAGTGTTGTGTAGGGTGTAGCTCTACTGTAGGTAGGTATAGAGTTGTAGTAGTGTGTGCGTGGGTTTGTGAGAGGTGGCAGTGGTTAGTATTGTGTAGTGTGTAACTCTGCTGTAGGTAGGTATTGTGTTGTAGTAGTGTGTGCGTGGGTGTGTGAGAGGTGGCAATGGTTAGTGTTGTGTAGGGTGTAGCTCTGCTGTAGGTAGGTATAGTGTTGTAGTAGTGTGTGCGTGGGTGTGTGAGAGGTGGCAGTGGTTAGTGTTGTGTAGGGTGTAACTCTGCTGTAGGTAGGCATAGTATTGTAGTAGTGTGTGCATGAGTGTGTGATAGGTGGTAGTGGTTAGTGTTGTGTAGTGTGTAACTCTGCTATAGGTAGGAATAGTGCTGTAGTAGTGTGTGCGTGAGTGTGTGAGAGGTGGCAGTGGTTAGTGTTGTGTAGTGTAGAGCTCTGCTGTAGGTAGGTATAGTAATGTAGTAGTGTGTGTGTGTGTGGGTGAGCGGTGGCAGTGGGTAGTATTGTGTAGTGTATAGCTCTGCTGTAGGTAGGAATAGTGCTGTAGTAGTGTGTGTGGGTGGATGAGAGTCGGTTGTTGTTAATGTTGTGTGACGCGATTGTTGGTACTGACCTCCACATGCTCTCCGAGTAAGTGTCTATATTCAGTTTCGTACGTATACCTACCTATGCTTTGCAGATAGAATCTTTTACATTGCAATTGCCTAATTCTATATGTGTTATTGACGCGACTGCTGATACTGACCTCCACATGCTCTCCGAGTATGGGTCTATATATAGTTTCATACTTATACCTACCTATACTTTGTGAACAGAGTCTTTTACCATACAAATCCCTCCTTCTATATGTGCAATTGACGCGATTGTCGGTACTGACCCCCACATGTTCTCCAAGTATGTGTCTATATGTAGTTTCGTACTTTTACCTAATGCACATCTCCCTGCCTTAAATCCATGAGTTTATTGCTACTGAGCTCTAAATGCTCTTTGAGTAGAAATCTATATTTAAAATGAGTAGTTAAACCTACAAGTTGCTCTCTGAGTAGAAATATATATTTAAAATGATTAGTTGAACCTACCTGTGAGATCCACGTGTTTGTTGATACTGGTCCAAATGCTGAAGGCGTTCAACACATTGAAGAAGTAGTTGCCTGTGGGCACCGTGAACAGTACTGTGGTCCCTTTTACCATCTGTGATTTACACGTACAGTCAGACCTGTTTAATAGTCATCTGGTTAACTAGTCACATCCGCACATATCAGGAGACGTGAATGAGCTAGCATGCGATGTATTGTACACTATACGTTACATACGAGCTGAGATGTCATAGAAGCTATCATGTCCACTTATGCGCATATGTGCACACATGCAGAGATGCCAACGAATTGCCAGTTTGTATGTAGAATGTACGAAGAGGCATATATATATATATATATATATCAAACACATCTCATACACACACACACACACACCTGCACGTCCTGTGCGGTAGCCTCTCTGAGTTCTACTTTGAAGGATGTGGTGTGGTCTTTCACTTGGAACACAAGGGGTTCGTAGTTGGACAGTGGTGACGTTGTGAACCACTGTTCCGGTACTTTCTTGTGCTATAAATAGAACCCGAAGAGTAACGTGTGGTTTAGTATGCTGTTGCTGACACCATGTTGTATCTACATATGAGTCATGGTGTGTGTGTTGGATAAGGCTCCTGTGCAGACGCTACACGTACAGCCAGATGTACCAGATGCCACAGCCAGATGTACCAGATGTACCAGATGCCACAGCCAGATATAAATTTTGATTCGAAGTAACAAATTCCACTTTCTGTATTTTTTGGGGTCAGAAGAAAATTCCTAAAGACAGGAAGGGTATATATCATCAATATGCATCGAAATATGTGACAATATCTTCATATATATATATATATATATATATATATATATATATATGTGTGTGTGTGTATATATATGACACACAACACACAACATATATATATATAATACTTATACATATATATATACATTTATATGTATATATATATATATATAAATATATACAAATACACACAC